ATGTCCTCTGCCTCCTTTTTTATCTGGAAGACAGCACTTTGCCCCCCCTCCTTGGGTGATGGGGCCGCAACGTGCACAACCTTCCAGACCGCGGTTGGGATATCCGGGTTCTGACGCTGCAGCAGCTTCAGCGCCCGGTCCGCTTGAATTGCGATGGGGAAGAGTACCTTCGCTTTTGGACTGGATGGGATTAGCTCCCGGTCCACCACCTCTAGCTTGGCTCACTCCAACAGCGCCTCCAACTGGCAGACCGCTTGCGTCAGCCACTTTCTCGTCGGGTCATCCATGCACTTTAGGATTTTGACCCCATTTAGCCACCCAGCGCCATCGAAGGTGGGCATGGGAGCTTCGGGATCATCCTCCATCCGTGCTTACAATGACTCAAAGAGCCGCGCATACACCATCTTCCACTGCGCCTAGGTCATTTTGCCGGCTTCATCGCGTCTGTCAATGAGGGCCACGATCAAGTGTCGTTTGGTCACCTCACTGACTTTTGCGGTTTTTTTGGGCTTTTTCGCTATTTGAGGAGAGCCTGCCTCCTTAGGCCCGCGTTGCCGCTTGCTCCCCGGTGCGTCCATAGAGGCGCTTTCGGTTGAGCGTTGCCTTTTGTTGGCAAGCGTCTCCTCCACCTTGTTGGCGAATCCGCGAGTCGAACTCATATGGGGGAGTTTGGCGAAGTGAAGCCTCCCCTCAGCGATTTACTCCTGAGCCCAGGTAAGCTTTGCCTTCTCCTCTGGGGATAGGGCGGCTTTTTTCTGGAGCCGATCCTGGATGCGAAGGGCAGCCTTGTACAGCGCCTTGGCCTTCATGCCCTCGCTTGACCGCTTTGGCCCGTCCCTGCGCTGGGAGCTGGTGCCTGGTTTCGGTGAGTGGAGAAGCTGCACGCTCTCAAGGTCCGAGTCTGTATCGACTATGGCACGTGAGCGGCTCAACTTCCCCTGCGTAGTTTTTACGGCAGTAGCGTTGCAACTGACATGACCTGCTCCCGTCACATCAGAGGTGTAACCGCTGGCGACACGCAGAGAGGATTGCTTCCCCCCGTGCCCGCCGGTGGTAGCGGTCACGCCTGACATCCCAGCCCTGGTTTCTTCCTTTAAACCCTTCAGAATGGTTTCTTTTTCAGGGGTACCACCCACTTGCGTTTTATGCCTTCCGCCAGACACCTCCACCCATGGCTAACGGCTCACTTCCTTAGGCTTTTTAGAGCAGAAGGAGTTGCACCGTGGCCTTAGCTAGACACTGTATTATCGCGGACGGGGCAAGCAGCAATGCATTACCGGGCTAATATAGTCCGGGCTAATATAGTGCCCATTGCCCAGCCGGCACCCTCGGGGAGGGTTCAGAGGGATGATTTTTCCAGGCCCTTCGCCCTTACACTCTACTACAAAATACAAATTTAGTCTCCACTGAGCCAATAGTATTAATTATTTGCAACGTAAATACCTTGCTGAATTTCCTGATTTGGAATTAATACACTGTCTTCTTTTGAATTAAGTTCAATTTTCCAAATAACTTGGGATCTTGCTGGCAGAAGTATTGAATTGTTGTCAGAACTGTGAGCTATTGGTACATTAATTGGAAATTTTAAATTATTGGGTCTAATTATAAGCCAATCTTCAGATGGCTTGAGGTCTAATTGACAGTTGTATTTTTTAATAAAATCGATTCCTAATATACCATCGCATGGAATAGGGAAATGTGAATTTACGATATGACAATCGTGTGGAATTATGTATTAAGTTTTCTGTTTCTCAATTGAAACTAAACCTTGGGATTTTGTTATTTCTTGACTTATGCCTTTTATGTCAATGATGTAGTCATCTTGGGTGTTTTGGAAGTTATCCGAAGTTTCTTTTAAAATGGAAATGTATGCACCTGTGTCTATTAAAAGATAAGTTCTTTTCCAGTAGCTACATTGAATAATGAAACGAATATATTTTGGCTGAGATTAATAGTGTGAACTCTGGCTTCGTCTAATGCTAAATATTTAAAGGGAGTTTTTGAGAGTTTTCGAAAGTATTTTGGGTAACTATGACATTGCCTTGGTTATTAACATTGTTGCCTCGGTTCGAGTTACCACGGCCTCTATAGTTTCCTCTATATTGGCCTCGTCCTCCATTGTTATTTTGGTAATTATTATTTTGGTAATTGCTGTTATAGGTCTTGCGATAACTACGAAAGTTACCTCTATAATTTCCACGATTTCCGCGATTTGAGCCGCGCTGTGGATAGTTCTTGAAGTAGATAACGGTGTTTGACTGTCCAGTTGCCTCAGTGCAGCTATTTACAAATTTCGAGACGGCATCATTCATAGTTTTAAAGGTGCCAGCTTGCATGATACCTTACCGATTGTCCAACTTTTAGTCATTGCTTTGACTGCATGCTGCGTTGAATAACTTCAGGCTAACTCTAGAGGTAAGCCTTCTGTTATATATGCACCTTCCAAGGCTTTTGACATCTGCTTAACCACTTGTGTATACTGGTTAGCAGTTTTATTGCGTTGCTGTAGGTTCATCAGTTTTGCTGACAATACTTCCACAATTTCGCCTTTGACGTTGCCTTTTAAACTAGATATCACTTCGGTAATCGTTGTTTCGTTTCGGATTAAATTTCTGGCGACACATTTTAGCTTTGTTTTTGTTATGGAAACAGCTTTTAGCTTTGTATATGTTATGGAAACAGCTAATTGTTCGTTCTTGCCTTTTATTGATTCTATTATTTGTAAGACATCAATGAAACTTATTAAATTTTCAGCTTTACCATGGAAGACTGATATAAGCTTGGATGGTGTATTAATAAAATCAATATTTGATTGTGCCATTGTAATATTGTTGCTTATTTTATTCCCTATTATGCTTGAAGTATCATCAGAATCTGTAGAATTATCCAGATCTGACATTAAAACAGCTGGAATAGTAAGATTATTAAAATCTACCTCTTCTATTTTGGGGGTTATCTCTAGAAGTTCTTCTGATTCTATTTGGTCACCGTCAGTTGGTTATGTCGATTCCGGTTCATCACCAGTTTCAACTGTAAGAGAAGTGCTAAGTGTCGGTACTGAAATATCTAAATTGAACTTTTGTTCAATTGGTATTAAATTAGATCGTCGGATCAAAAATTTTTGATACTTGGGGCCAATGATCTCGATAAAATCTTTTCCTCTGCCCATGTATTAGTATTCGTGCGTCAATAAAGCATTCTACTAATTTTTCTACACGTTTTTTAATAGTGTTTTTTTGTATTTGCCTGTTTTAAGTAAGTGACTTATATGATTTGTCAAAGTCGACTTTTATGTCATTTATCTATTATATAAAAATAAGTCGAGTTTTCTGCGGGGATCAATTAACTCCAGAACGCACGAACCGATTTCCACGGTTTTGCATTCGTTGGAAAGGTCTCGGAATTTGTGATTTTATGCAGTAAAGAAAATTCAGGAAAAATTGCAACAGAAAGCGGGAAAATCATTTTTGCATAAAGCGCCAACACTGACACATAGCATGCCATAATTCTGTACTCAGTTTATTTTATGATAAACCGAAATAGTGTTCCATTTTGAGAAAAATAAGTTATTCGTTTCATATCAGAGCACTTGGAAGCTAGCATTTGAATTTAGGGTGGTAAGTTGAACTGTGTAAATTATGTGGACTTGAGGTTAAATTAACCGCTCTGCATATAGTCCTTGATCAAGACTAGAATTTCCCGGATAGTTCACCAACGCTTTGATCCAAGTATTTCTGATGTAAGTCGACACTACCATCGAATCGCTGCAGAATTACAATCCAATCGGGACCAGCGGTTGGAATATTCTCAGCTATTGCCAGCCTGTCTTCGTCCCCGATGCTATATAATTTAATATTGGGCACTTTCGAATGGTTAACTAATACAAATTGTGCATCTGAGCCTTGGGAATTTGTAGCATTTAAGGCAAGCTTAGTGTCCTCTTCTCCTTCCTCATATATTTCAGCGGCTTTTTCAAGAATAATTGAAACAGAAAAGGTGGTTAGTTGAACTGTGTCAATTATGCGGATTTGAGCTTAAATTAACCACTGTGCCCAGATCATATACATAACTCCAGAATGCACCAACCGATTTTCACGGTTTTGCAAAAAAAAAAATGTTATTCATTTCCTAACATTTCAATTGGAAACCAGCTTTTGTCTTTAAGGTGGTAAGTTGGACTGTGTAAATTATGTGAAATTGAGGTTAAATTAACCACTTTGCCTATAGTTAAAAATGCCTAGAGCACGACGTTTGAACATCGGTCTCCGCACAAGGCATGCATGCCAGCAACAAGTGTGATAACAGAACTTAAGCGAGGAGAGACGAAATGTAGTAAGGGAAAATGCCCGATTGAGACAACGCGTGAGCACACGAAGATCTACTGGTGTGCAGCATCTAAGAGGATCCCAACCAACGTGGCAGGCTTCTAACAGCAGCCTTCCTCGACATAGCCATCAACCTCAGGACAAAATTCAAGAATCCTGAGATAGAGTGCCAGAAAAGATTCGTTATCCAAAGGTGTCGCGGGTGAGACCGTGCCCCCCGGTGTTGCCCATATCCGTTTTGTCCACTGGAGGGTCCCAACAGTTGTCCTCTCAGAGCCCCAGTTCCCTACCAGGGTGTCAGGCCCGGACTACCGGTCGAAATTGGTAAGGCGGATAATCAGCTTACCTTGAAAAAACCCCTTATGGCAATACCACCAACGAGACAGTTTCATCTTTTCTCCATTGTCGGAACTTCCTATTTATTGAAACCATCTTTCCGCTATTCAGTTGGTCTCTAAAAGACTTTCGGATAGGGACCACTTAGTTAGTAGTTCTTGGTGATTTTAACATCCCAGGGGCTATTTGGTCCCTAGATAATTCCATTAACCACAATACATCACAAAAAATGTGGTTTACCAAAGAACACTTCAATTAAACGGATAATTTGCCGAAGGTGGCGTAACGGAGTTCGCCTGGCTTACTAGTTTCCTTATATAATTCATTCCATTCGATTATTTAACCTCTCTTAAACAATAAAATGGCTATCTGGCCCAAATAGAAATAAAAGAAATGGTGCGGCTCGTGTGACACATACGATCCGAAATCACTGCCAACAATGCAATGCCATTCGGGGCTATATTTTTTGTCAAACTCCGTCTTAATATATTTGGCAATATCCTTCTCAATGCTGTATTTATCGAGGGCCTGTGTCGTGCAGTCAATGGCGTTCTTCTGCATCTCCTCGCTCATGTCGGCACTCTTAATCACGGCTTCGCTGTCAGACATTTTTGCTGATTTGTGTCTGATATGGTAGAATGCAATCTGCTATCATATGTTTATCTAATCGCCTTTAGTGTAGCCATACTTTGGTTAAATTTTTTTTTGTATTTATTTCTTTTTATTTTGTATTTTTATTTATTTTCTTAAATTTTAAGTGTTGATAACAGAAAAAATTTGTTTTTAATTAATGTTGTTTGTACTCTATATTTTTTTTCGTTTGTTGCTTAAATTTTGTCCAGGTCATTTGCCTGGCTCATATATTTCTTTTTTATACCCTTGCAGGGTATTATAATTTCAGTCAGAAGTTTGCAACGCAGTGAAGGAGACGTTTCCGACCCTATAAACTATATATATTCTTGATCAGCATCAACAGCCGAGTCGATCTAGCCATGTCCGTCTGTCCGTCCGTCTGTCCGTTTCTACGTAAACTAGTCCCTCAGTTTTAAAGCTATCTGAATGAAACTTTGCATATAGTCTTCTATATACTCTCACTGCTATATATGTCGGAACGGGCCGGATCGGACGACGGACGACGATCGGATATAATATAGCTGCCATACAAATGTTCGATAAATTTTTAGAAAAAAGCATTCGTAATTGCAGACTTGATGTCATAGCCGGTTTCGATTTTATAAAAATCAAAAACTCGGCTTTAGCTAAAAAAAAAAATTATAACTTGGGTGTTTTTCAATATTTTTGCATCATTTTTGAGATATCCATTTTATATTATTCCAGAATTTTGGTAGCCCCACATATTGGCCAGCAGACCCCAGAAAGATACCCGACCTAATTGATTTCGCGGTGACAAAAAACATCCCACGAAATTTAATAAACGCCAAGGCCCTTCCAGACCTTTCTTCAGATCACTCGCCGCTGTTGATAACCCTCCTTCAAAGCCCTGAAACTACGGATCGCCCCTATAGGCTGACGTCGCACAGAACCAATTGGATGAAATACAAAAAGTATGTGAGTTCCCACATTGAGCTAGCCCCCCAGCTCAATACTGAAACCGACATCGACTCCTCCACCTCCGCACTGGAAGAGGTACTTGTGACTGCAGCCAGAATCTCAACACCACAACAGACGGATGTGCAAAAAATCAAACTCAAAACGAACCAGCAAATTGAACAGCTTATCCAAGAAAAGAGGCGTCTGCGACGGGCGTGGCAAACCAATAGATCGCCATGCACAAAGCAACGTCTAAATGAAGCCACACGCAAACTAAGCCGGGCCCTGAAGCAAGATGCCGAAAAAGCACAATTAAGATATATTGAAAAACTCTCGCCAACCAGCACAAAGCATCCCTTATGGAGAGCTCACCCAAATTTAAGCTCACCGGCTGAAACCATCACCCCGATAAGAATGTCATCTGGTTGCTGGGCCCGCAGCGACAAAGACAGAGCCGAAACTTTTGCCTCACATCTCCAGGGCGTTTTCCAGCCGAACCCTGCTGCAAATCCATTTGATCTACCGCAAATCCACACTGAAACGGAATCTACTCCAGCATCATTTCGTCCGAACGAGATAACGAAGGTCATCAGGGAACTGAAGCCGAAAAAGGCTCCCGGCGTTGACCTAATAACTCAAAAAATGATAATTGAACTTCCGAATTGTGCTATTGAGGTCATCTGTAAAATCTTCAATGGGATCATAAGTCTCGGCCATTACCCAACAAAATGGAAAAAATCTATAATTATAATGATACCGAAGCCCGGAAAAGACCACACGATTCCGTCATCTTACCGACCAATAAGTCTACTATCATGCTTGTCCAAATTATTTGAAAAATGCCTACTAAAGCGCATAATCCCTTATCTGGGAGCTCACAACATTATCCCAGCTCATCAATTTGGCTTCAGAGAAAAACATGGAACTATCGAGCAAGTTAACAGAATAACATCAGAAATTCGGACAGCCTTCGAGCATCGAGAATATTGCAGCGCGATATTTCTCGACGTTTCTCAAGCATTCGACCGAGTCTGGCTCAACGGCCTCATGCACAAAATAAAAACACTCTTGCCGGTATACACACACAAATTACTTGAGTCGTATCTCTACAACAGAGTCTTCGCAGTGAGGTGCAACGCAACAACATCCGGCACCTATTCAATCGAAGCTGGAGTCCCACAAGGAAGTGCACTTGGGCCTACCCTATTTGTTCTATACACAGCGGATATCCCCACAAGCGACCAGCTAACATTATCCACTTTCGCTGATGACACTGCGATCCTCAGCCGTTCCAGATGCCCAGTCCGTGCAACAGCCCAGCTCGCCAACCACCTCAAGGTAGTCGAGAAGTGGCTATCTGATTGGCGTATTAAAATAAATGAACAAAAGTGTAAGCACATAACGTTCACCCTCAACAGACAAACATGCCCCCCGCTCTACCTGAACAGCACACTGATCCCCGAAGTCAACGTGGTAACGTACCTGGGCGTCCACCTGGACAGACGCCTAACATGGCGAAGACATATTGAATGCAAGAAACTTCATCTAAAACTAAAAGCCAGCAGCCTCCACTGGCTCATAAACTCCCGATCGCCCCTGTGTCTGGACTACAAGGTCCTGCTCTACAACTCCACACTAAAGCCAATATGGACGTATGGCTCCCAGCTCTGGGGGAACGCGTGCAGTACCAATCTAGACATCATACAGCGCGCCCAATCAAAAATCCTGAGAACTATCACTGGGGCACCATGGTATATTCGCAACGAAAACATCCACAGTGATCTCGGCATTCCTGCAGTCAAGAACGAAATAGAAAAACAAAAAGCGTCCTACAAGGAAAAACTCTCCACCCATCCAAATCCTTTAGCAAGGGACTTGATAAAAGTTTCCAGAAGAAGCCGCCTACTACGTAACGACCATCCAACCCAGCCATAATTATTCAGGGCCATTTACTCTGTACCAGTCTCATGACTGCTAGTTAGGTAGTATTGTAAGATTTGATACACTTATTGTTAGTCTCATAAATGAGAAGATTCAATAAATAAAAGCAAAGCCTAAAAAAAAAAAAAAAAAAAAAAGAATTTTGGTAAAAATTTTATGAAAATCGGACCACTATATCTTATAGCTGCCACTGGAACGATCGGAAATTAATCGAAAAAAAATTATAACTTCGTTGTTTTTCAACGTATTTTAATTTACTTTGAGACATAAGTTTCTGGTATTATTTCAGAATTTTGGTATAAATTTTATGAAAATCGGACGACTATATCTTATAGCTGCCATAGGAAAAATCCGTGGATGTAGAGAAAATGTAAATAAAGGTAAAATGTTATGAAACTCTGTTTAGTGTCTGTTTTCGGCATTATAATTTATAATATAAATATGAAAACCCATCTGCAAGGGTATACAAACTTCGGCGTGCCGAAGTTAGCTTTCTTTCTTGTTAGACATTTATCATGCAACTTATATCATTTGTAACAACAATTTGCGCACATTATTGGTTGACTCTACTTTATTAATAACGTTAGCAGTACCTGTTTTCAACCTTTAGGGTTAATCCTTTTGACTCTACTTCATGTAGATATCAGCAAAGAGTATAGAACTATATAGAGAGCGCATCTCGCATACTTTGCCTGCTTTACTCTAGTCGGCGAGGGGAAACGGGGAATGATTTGCTTGTTCTATTTTTAGATTTCGTTTATTACACACACAATGCATAAGTGTAAATGGGTTTTAAACGCTGCAACACATTTGAGACGAAATTTCTTATTTGGCTTTGCTAGGGCGAGAATCAAAAGGCTTTTAAATTCATATTGGTGTGTAAGCATCATACACTTAATTGGACCTATGGTCGTGCTGGTTAAAGCGTTGGTGAACAATGGTAATGAGTGGATCGATCCCTGGCAATGACGGTGTTTGTAGTAATGTGTATTTTTGTTATTAATAATTCATATTTTTTATATTCTTTTATTTATTACATTATTTCAAACAGTTTTTAATTTTAAGAACTTTTATTAAACAAATATGTTTCTTCGCTATGGGCTTATAAAATCAAAACATTTAAAATATATATAATTATATTTTATTATCAGTTTATTCGACTGTATTTAATTTAAAACATTATTATTATTATTATTATTATAAAGAAATTATCCGCAATTACAAAGTGTGGATAATTTTGTTTTTTTTGTTAAGCAATAGCTACAATGGCCTTCTGCTTAAGTTATACATTTGCTATAATTAACAATATTAGTTGAGTGATTAAATGAATAAGGTATTTACACTAATAATTTTTATATACTAAGGGTATGATTGTGTATGTATGCTAGTATGTACATAATATGTTGATAAAATTAAATATATGTGTATTGTGTTTTGATAATGTTAGGATTATATATTGTTGTAGATGTTGATTGATTTAAGGAATTTAATGGTCGTTACAGCATTTATTGGGTTTAGAATTTGTTCTATGTTATTTTGGAGGAATTTTTTTCTAGGTTCATCGTGAATAGGACATTCTAGGAATATGTGGATTAGGGTTAAGGTTTGGTTACAATGTTGGCATGTAGGCGGTGAAGTTTTGTCAAAGAGGCAGCTGTGTGTCAATTTAGTGTGTCCGAGGCGAAGTCTCATAAATTTGATAGTGTCTAATCGAGAGAATGTTTTGCTTAGAAGTTCAATATTGTTTAGTTTTTTTGGGTTAATGAGTTTGTAGTGCTGGGATGTGTGGTTCCAGATTTGGTCGTATTGGGATCTCATATGTTCACTGATATATTTCAGAGTGTCAGGTGTGTTATGATTTTTTTCGGATATTAATGGCAATTTCGTTGCTTCCTTAGCCGCTTTGTCTGCAAATTCATTTCCGTTAATACCGCAATGTCCTGGTACCCATATCAAAGAAAATTTGTTTTTATATTTAGAGATTATTTTTTTAATTTCAAGAGTGTAGTAGTTGTAGTTATTGGGATTCTCTAGTGCTGTAAGGACAGACAGAGAGTCGGTGCATATAGCGAATTTTCCCTTTTGTTTTTCTGCGTATCTACATGCGCAGAGGATAG